CCGACCCTTCATTGAATGCTAACGTCATCTAGTATGAGGGCTCGTCAAATTGATTGTCTATACCTGCAGGCATGAATGCAGCGTCCCCAACAAAAGGACATCAGTACGAATAATGTACCGAGTATGTAAGGCACATAAATAAGTGTATAAAAGACATAGAAGAAACATGGAGTAAATGCCTTAACCTGTAAGTCTGGATATATAAAATACTTATAGTTTCATGTATATGCGTATGAATGTCATGTTGTGCATAAGTACATGTGTTCATAACATCATCAAGCCTCTGAGGGCATCCCATCATATTATCTCGGCCACTGTGGGCAAAATCATCAATGTATACGAGCTGATCAGGTGGTGGTGTGTATATTACGCCGTAACCTTTTTCCATATCCCATATACATACATATATATATATATATATATAAATATATATATATATATATATATATATATAACACCATCTGGTCATGAGTCAATGTAAATGAACGCAATGCATGAGAAGTACGTCAATAAAATCTTTCGGAGTGTCATAAGATCATTATGCCTCTGATTAATATCATGAAATAAACTTTATCAACTTACGTATTTTCTGAGGCCCAAGAACAGACGATAGAATAATAAGACATATGGAAATTCAAGAACATCTCTAATACTTCTATGAATAGAGTCATTTATGGATTTGTGCATTTGCTTGTTTCGTTCGTGTCGTATAGATCATGCCAAAAAAAAAGGATAGCCTTAACATACCTGAATCGATTTTCTTGAGAAAGACTACACCGTATTCCCTTATAATTGCAAAATCTCACAACAGTAACATAAATCCAATTCCTACTAAGTGCTTCATCATGTGTTATTTAGTATTGGAATAGGAAAATGTTATGATTTCCTTCAATGTGGTCTAACGTAAGTTCTTAATGGAAAGAACTATTTACTTGAAAATCTAAGAGACCAAATGAAGTAAATTGGTCACACATCTCTTGAGTGTGTTTGAATGGTTGTGGGCCACTTCAAGTGATGACTAAGCCACTTTAATTGTCCAAAATATGAATCTTGCAAGACTTTTAAGAGTCATCTTAATTGCCGCATTTTGCTGCAACATTTTCAAGGTTATCCAAAGGATTATAATAAGTTATCCACCCATTTCTTAATAACTTGTTAATTTCCCATTAATCAATACCCCACATAATTAAGAATTATCTCAACTTATTTAAATACTACTTACTTTTAACACAATTAATACACCTTACTATCATGGTCACGTGGTACCTTGTACGTCACTAGTCTATAAATACCGGGTATTTTAGCTCAGGCCGTATTTTGTCCAACCATGAAAAACTTTGACGAAATTCATTTTCTTCAATTTGCTTACCCTCTCACCTTCACAAATTTACTCATCACTTGTTTGAAATAGCATAATGCTTATAATCTCAAAATAATCTCATTCCAAAACTTACGTCGATTAACTTATGATGAAACTTTAATGTACGAAAATACGAGATGTAACATCTCATCTCCGAGCTTATCTTAATTTACATATGGCGTACTTCCACGTACGAAAACATGGGGTGTAACTATATGCCTTAGTGAAGTTGTTATCTCTCTTATTGTCTTGTTACCTCGTTTATTGTTGAATTACTCTTACTTGAAGGTGTTATTTCGTGGGAATTATCTTCTTGTTGGGTTGTTGACGTTGAAGTTGTGAAAGTTGTTATCACATTGAGGTTGGTAGTAGAGATTTTGTTCTGGCAATGTCTTTTTAGCTAGCCCAGCTAAAAACAATCATTAACATATTATGTTGTAACTCTATGGTATAAGGGCTCCTGAGCTTTTGCTTGGTGCAAAAGTATATGCAGACTGCAGTAGCAATTAATATATAAAATGTTGGCTGAATTCTTGCTAAATTATCTGCGGGAAAACCTATCACCCTTGGAAGAACAGACGTACTTCCCTATTCATTTGTCAATTGTGAATTGTGAAATTATTTGTTCATTTCATAACGAATTAGCACTTGTTTCGTCATGCCTGTATAAACTGAGGGTTGAAACAACTATTATGTGGAGCAAATGCATAAATTTTCAAGATTTGTGGTTCACGTTTTGAGGAGTATTTGGAGGAAATCAAAACTTCTGCATGCTACTTGAAAGCAAGACTAAAAAGATGCAGCAACTGACACTCTGAATTTATTGTTGAAAGGGTGTTTACCTCGAAAATATGGGTAACAATTAAATTTGATTTGTGGTTTTAAAGATACGTGATTAAGTTCAATACTAATTAATAACCAAGAAATCTAATGTATAAATAAAAAAATAAGTAAAATCAAACCAGAATGTAGACCAGTCTCGACCTCGAGCCAAAGTGGCCTCGAGATGGATAAAGAATAATAAAGCAAGAATGATAGAGCTGAAGGACAATTCTGATGAACAATGAGCGAAAAAGTAAGAGAGTATATTTTTTGCCAATGATTAGATGATGTTTACAAATGATTGGGGTCCCCTTTATATAATAGGGGAACCCTAAATAAGATACATTTCTAGTTACAGAAGGAATCTGATTGGAGACAACTATATAACCGCCTAGTACAGATTTGTACTAATTCGTACAAATCTATTCTAGAATTTACGCCATGATCTTGGGTACGTGGCGGGAATCTTGTCCATCTATAAAAAACTCATAACGGCATTATTTCGGAGTTGGTCGTACTTGGTGCCGATGTTCCTCGAGCACTTAGGTCTTCGAGCCCGAGCTTGGTCTATATCGAACTTTTGTACTCGATGAGACCTATTGAGCCTACAAAATCGAAGGCATATGATTTTGACCGTATATATCGGGCTCGCTCCTAGTCTATTTCGATCTCGCTCTTGAAGTGAACCTTGAGCCCATGAAATCGGGTAGCCCGATTTCTACCGTATATAGATAGTCCCCGCATTTCTTAGAGTATAACGACAAGAAACGAATTGAGTCCTTGATCTTTATCCCGATTTTCCACGACATCATCATCATGACGTAAGCGACTGAGGAAACAAAAGCTTGGAAGCTAGCCATTCTCGAGGAAAACTCCGAGAACTTTTAGCGAGTCCAGCGGCGGGGAAGGTTCTGAGGGAGAGGACACTTCTGCCGATAAGGACCGTGATGCTTAGGTTTCGTGCTCTTAGTAATTTTTGTTTTTGAGGCTGATCGGCCCTTGCGAGGAACTCTTGATCGTGAACTATAGCTCTTGTAAAAAGGTTTGTACAAAGCCTTTTTCCTTCCATGGCTTCTGAATTTGTTACCCTTTTATGTGGGTCAAAGTGCCTTATCATAAAATCCCTTTTGAATGTCCAAAGTTTGAGATGGTAATGATCGACAATAAGTTCTGACCTTAAACATTTCTGATCAATTGTCCCTGAATGACCATTCGAACTTGCGTTTAGGCTCAATAGTCGATGAGGTAAGGTAGCCCTTGGGCTTGATAGTTGAGTGAGTTCACGCTCGAACTTGAAATGAAAATAGCTCTTAGGCCTTATGGACAAGTGAGGACATGCTCGAACTTGAGATGAGGTGGCCCTTGGGCTCGAAAGATAGTCCCCGAGTGAGAATTTTCTCGAGCTCAGGTAGCCCTTGGGCTTAGTAGTCAAGTGAGTACTTGCTCGAACTCGAAATGAAAATAGCCCTTAGGCTTTATAGCCGATTGAGGATTTGCTCGAACTCGAAGTAAAGTTAGCCCATAGGCTTTATGGGTAGTCCCGAGTGAGGGTTTACTCGAACTCGGGTTAAGAAAGCCTTTGGGCTTTAATGATCGAGTCACTACTAGAATTCCGGAAAAAGCGACCAAACTTTAGCGACCAAAGTTGGTTTGTCAAGAAAAGCGACCAAAGTTGGTCGCTAAATTGGTGAAAATAATAAAATAATTATTTGAAATACATTAGCGACCAAGGTTGGTCGCTACTTGGTCGATAATTTTGTCAAAATGTTGACCGGACTAGTCAGACTTGCTTGGTCAAAGAAATACTAAGATTAGCGACCAACGTTTGTCGCTACAGGGGGACCCACTTATAAAATTTTAATAATTATAATATTATTTAAAAAAATTTATAAAATATAAATAAATACAATTTAAAATTAGCGACCAAAGTTGGTCGCTAATTAAAGGGTAAGCAGATAGCGACCAACTTTGGTCGCTAATATGGGACCCAGTTATAAAATTTTAATAATTCTATTATTATTTAAAAAAAATTATAAAATATAAATAAATATAATTCAAAGTTAGCGACCAAAGTTGGTCGCTTACTAAAATAGAAACCAACTTTGGTCGCTAATCTGCGACCCAGTTCTAACGTTTAACAATTATATTATTATTTTAAATATTATATAAAATATAAATATCTGATTTAAATTTAGCGACCAAAATTTAAATTTATGTATAATTAGCGACCAAAGTTGGTCTCTTTTCAGGTCAACAATGGTCAAAACTAAAAATCACTTTTGTATTTACTATCTAAATAATACAAATGTAAGCAGTTAACACTTTTGTAATACAAGGGATGAATAGACTAAAATATACTCTAACATGCTATATATGCAGTTAAGTAGTACTACGAAGCGTGCGTGTGTGTCTATATATAAATAATGAGGTTTGACATCTGCTTGAGCAGGAAGAAGAAAGGTTTGATCCGCTCTGTTTAGATAATTTCCATGGGGTTATTAGAGGACGCTAGGCATCGGAATTCAAAAGGTTCTCTTTTTTTCTGTCAGCATATATATATATATACTTACACTATACTATGCACTAAGTATCAGTGCATTAGCTAATATTATATCGAATATAGCTCTTATATATATATATATATATACACACACTTATATTTTGTTCCACAAATCAAAATCATAAATCTCATGTTTTTTCAAAGCGATGCTTAAGAAATTTTCATCATAATTTATTAGTAAAGTGATTTAAATTGATTTCTAGGTAAGCCTACCAGTTAATAACAACTTAATAGGAATAATCAACAAAACTACTAAAATAAGGCTGAGTAACTGATATAAACTTCTGAAATAGAGTCTCAACAAATACATTCCCAAAACCGGTGGAACCAAGTCGTAAGCTCTAAGAGTAAGCTAAAGTGTCTAGTACATCACTGTCTGACTGAAAAGAAATACAACGGTAGTAAAAAATAAAAGAAGGTGACTTCAAGGCCTGTGGATGCCGAGCAGACATACCTTGAAGTCTCCGTAAGACAGCTACAAATGATATCTAACGACCGACATGAGCAGACGTACCTGGATCTGCACAAAAATTATGCAGAAGCGCAGTATAAGTACACCACAACGGTACCCAGTAAATATCCAACCTAACCTCGGTAGAGTAGTGACGAGGCCAGATCAAGACACCTACTAGGATATAAATCAAAATCATAAGTCTCATGTTTTTTTAAGCGATGCTTATGAAATTTTCATCATAATTTAATAATAAAGAAATTTAAATTGACTTAACAACCACAAAATAGCATAGAGTTTTATGATATAATAAAAAAAAGAAATTATGAAAATGGAATTTGATATCAATACAAAATTCTCATGAGGCCTTTGAAAGAAGAAAACTTACAGATTTGAAATTAAAAGGAATGTTTATTTTATAGAATTTTAAAGTTTGGAGCCTCTTTTTTAAGTGTTCTTGCTAGAGACCACAAAAAATAATAGAATACAGGAAAGAAAAATATAAAAATAATAAAATAACAAATAGAAAATTGGGAGTAGCCAAAAAGGAAAATGATTGGAACAAAAGGAAATAAAATACAAAAAAAAAAGGTCACACAAGCTTCAAGATAAATTTAAACTTGGATTTTGCACACAGGATAAGTTCAGGGGTGTTACCCAGGAAGCGGACGGGGATGTGAGGCTTGATACGCAAGTCATTCCCAGGAGGGACAACTTTAAGTCCATGATTCAGACTGATGAGGAGATTGACGAGAATGTCACACATCGCATCGGAGCAGGGTGGATGAAGTGGAGACTCGCTTCCGGTATCTTGTGCGATAAGAATGTACTGTTGAAACATAAAGGTAAGTTCTACAAGGTAGTGGTTAGACCGGCTATGTTGTATGGGGCAGAGTGTTGGCCAGTCAAGAAATCTCATGTCCAACAGATAAAAGTAGTTGAAATGAGGATGTTGATATAGATGTGTGGGCATACTAGGTTAGATAAAATTAGGAATGAAGTTATTCGAGACAAGATGGGAGTGGCCACTGTGGAGGAAAAGATGCGAGAGGCGAGGCTGAGATGGTTCGGCATGTTAAAAGAAGAAGCGCAGATGTCCTAGTCAGGAGGTGTGAGAGGTTGGACTTTGGGGGTAAGAGGAAGGGTAGAGGTAGGCCAAAGAAGTCTTGGGGAGAGGTGATCAGGTGGGACATGGTGTAGCTTGAGCTAACTGAGGACATGACTCGTGATAGGAGGGTATGAAGGTTGAGAATTAGGGTAGAAGGTTAGTAGGTAGTCGAGTGTTTCTCATTGTCTTCCATAGTGAAGTAGTATTATTGTTAGTATGGTATCACTTTTATCCTTAGTTTGCTAGTACCACATATCTTGTAATGTTATTACTTGCCATCAGTACTCTCTTAGTTTGCTATCACTACATATTTTGCACTATTATTACTTATTATCAGTACTTTTTTCATCTTCTCTTTGTTGTCTTGGATTTAGTTTTCTAATTATCCTATATTGTTATTACTTGCTATCAGTATTTTTTCTATCTTTTCTCTAACCGAGGGTCTATCAGAAACAGTTTCTCTACCCTTCTGGGATAGGGGTAAGGTTGCGTACATCCTACCCTTTCCAGATCCCACTTGTGGGAATACACTGGGTGATTATTGTTATTGTTGCACACAAAAAAAAACTTTCAAAAAATCTACCACACATGACACATTTATCTAGTTTATAACTGCGGGCGGCAGGAATAAGCATTTAACCAGTTAACCTAGTTTTAAAGAATTTCAACACCATATATGATAAATTTTACCAACTTACCAGCATTTAACAGTTAACCTAGATAAATTTTGTCCGCTTTCAGTGGATCCACCCATGTGTAATGGAGCCAGGAATTTATATAAAGAATTCAAAAAATACTAATTTAGCTTTTAAAAAGATGGGAAATAAAGAACTTAAAAGGATACCTGAGAGCTGGAGATAAGTTTCATGAACTTTCTCCTCCTTCACAATGATAGTCCGAAAGATTTTGAAACGTATAAGGATAGAAGGTTTCTCAAATTTCAGCAGATGCGAAAAACCATTAGATGATTTTCTTTTCTCACTTGTGAAAGTTTTTGTAGACAGAATTATCTTACGCATACGCGCGCTGATAAGAGGTAACAAATATTTAGTGGGTTGTTAGATGATTCTTTTTCCACTCGTGTAGGTCTTTATGGACACAATTATCTTAAGCGTGCCCAGATGGGAGACACAATTATTTTAAGCGTGCCCAGATGGGAGATAACAAGTATTTGTTTGGCTAGTCAAGATACATGCAAGCTAATTTGCAAATCATTGTTATGCATGATAAAATGAAATATTCTCTTCAATAAGCAGGGGTGCGAGAGTAATTGAAATTCCATTTGACGGGATAGTAAACTGTTTTCCATTGCCTGGTGTAGACACCGGATTTTTGACCCTCCCCGAGAATTTTCATATTTTTAGCGTGAATATGTGAA